TACTTTCACAGCAGCATCTAACATTTCTTTCTTTACATTCATCCAAGTGTCTGTGTGTTTGTGTGGTCCAGTTCATGAGATACATTTGCACTGATTAATACCACTGAGCATTTGACATTCAAACAGAGCGTTACATCCTCCAAGTGTGGACGGATGTTGCCCTATCCTCCATCTCTTCCTGATCATTTATCCAGTTTGCCGTTTGACCTCCAGGATGAGGAACAGAGGACAGGAATGAGAATGGATTATGAGAAGGATCAGTCATGTTCTCATTCCTACTGCCGTTTCTGCTCCGAGTTACAAGAACAGAATCGTCTCTTCACTCCTGTTTGTTCTTATGTCTCAGTCTTTGGTTTCCAGGTTGATGGGTGGTACCTGCTTTAGTGCCTGAAGGAGGGCAGGGGAGTCCATGGGGGTCTGAGATATGGCTGGGGCTGGAGAACCTCCCCTCTGAGACAACACAAACTGAGGTGGAGATGGTCTTTCACTTGTCATAGACGATGCAGAGCCTCCCATGCCAGGGTAGAGCATGGGCACAGCCCCGGGGTACCAGCATTTCTCCAGCATTGGCAGGTAGGCTGCAGCAGAAGGGGGGATGAGGTAGAAAGGCATGCAGAGGGAGTGAGGAGGAGGCTGGCGGTTAGGGGACACGTTCATGTAACTGCCGTAACTGCAAGAGGACGATGATGTGGATGATTCTCCACCTGAGAGCAGCTCATCCTCAGACGACTCCACCCGGGGTCGTTTGTGCTGCGGCTCCTCGTCCTCCTGCTTTATGCCGGAGTTCTGCGTCCCGCCCAGGCCTCGCTTCAGCTGGCTCTCCTGACCGTATACATCTGGCCGTCCGTGTGGCCTCTTCTCCAGCTCTCCCCCATAGCCGCTGTCTGTATCCGTATCGCTGCCACTCTGCTCACTGCTCATTGGAGCGTACGCCCGCTGGATGACAGGCACACAGTTCCTCCCATAGCCCTCGCTGGGTTTAGGGGGTGAGCTGGTGGGCATCTCTTTGTGCAGTTGGTGCTGGTGGTATGCAGGGGTCTCCTCGGGTTGAGGGCTGAGAGGAGTGCGGGGTCGGACCGGACCTTGCAGCACCTCTGCGGCTACCTTGTGAAGGTGATTGATGACATGGGATGGCGTGAGGTCTTCATCCGTCTCATGATTGCCAAGAAACTGAAGCATCTCCTTGGCACACATGTGGAAACCAGAGCGGAACATCTCCTCTGACTTTTCCTGGTTGATAGACGGGTGCTCTGTAAAAACAACAAGAGAACACAGTCAGAATTGTTGCAGTTTGATATGGTGCCAACTGCCAACACTATATCCCAAGTCACTTATTAGCCTGTAGCTCTTCAGCATTCGGTCATTGTATATTTAACTTGATAATTTGCATTCTGTTCAACACACCATCCTCCTGCATGTGCATTTCTGTGTGCAAGTGATCTGCAGCTTACCAATTTGCATGCCGTTCTGCAGAGCGTGGATCTTCTGCTGCTGTTGCTCCAGAAGAGATGTGAGGGCTTTCACATGCTTCAGTGTAAGCTCTAAAACCACAGCTTTCTCCAGATGGCCCAGAGTCTGTCGGAAACAAACACAGTCAGCACATACTCATCTATTATATAATACATAGTCTATGCTCTACTGCTCCGCTACACATGCTCTTAGTTTTCTCATCACCAAAACACTACAGCAGCAATCATAAAGGACAACATAATCAATAAGAGATATTTAACATTATAGAGGCCATATGTAAAAGCAACATGGATTCCTGAGCATAAGGTTTATTGCAGTTATTTTGTTTTTTGACTGCATATTAGTTTTAAATTCCCAAGTTTAAACATTTACAAATGACAGGAGACATCCTCTTTCGTTTCTTCTTCTTTTGTACATTCTTTTCAGTTTGGACTGTCCTTTACTGACGCACACATGATGTAATACCACTGAACAGCCACTCGATGGTGCATGCAACTCAATACAGTGCATCCCATTATCCCTTCCAGCCACAGCATGAACTTACCGTGAGTTTCAGGTGCTCTGGTAATAAATCTTTTAACTGAGCGATGCACTCGTTTATCCGGTCACGCCTTTTCTTCTCAATAAGTCTGTGAGGCAGCTTGTAGGTTTCCTGCAATAAAAGAAATTGCCATGATTGTTAAATTCAGATTATCTGAGAGCACACAGTGATAGTCTTTTTTATATTTAGAAGCTCCGATAGGGAGGACTCCAGAAGTTATTTCATTGCAGAAAGTAGGTCAACCATTTATGGGACTACCAAAATACTGCAAGGCAGATCAGATCCTTTATCAAAAATATATGTTGTTAAAATGTAACAAGGTAGTAAAAGGCAAAATAATATCTCACCTTGCTCTCCTCTCCTCTCTTCATTCCTCGCCTGGGTTTATAAACATACATCGGGAAATCCATCCTAAAAACATACGGAGACAGAACGGTTAGGTATGAGGTAATGGTTTGGTGAAGTATAAGGTAGAGAATAAATAACATATCAAGTGCGTTTAAGGAAAGCATTTTTTCAAACTATAACTTACCCTTGCATGTCCGACAGATCAGCCTGGTGTTTGGACAGAGGAGGAGGTTGTGCGCTGGGAATTCGCTCCATTATTGTTATTCCAATTACGCAGTAAAATCGAGGCACTCAGAAATAAAAACGAATTTATTTGTGCGTGGTTAAAAAAGTTGGAAAAGAGAAAATGCACTAAAATGCCTTTTAATATGTGCAAGATTTGTAATAATTTCTTATATTAATACCAATCGTACTAATGTGTAGGTTATTTTGCTTGTGAAGATGGGTCCAAGTTAGTCCCTGCGATGTCCACGCTGTGGTCCTGCCGCAGAAGGAAGGTAACCCTGTTGGTGGCGCGTTGGGAAAGTGAGGGAGGACAGAGAGACGAGTTAGATAAACCCTCTGACTCTCCGCTCCGCCTGACCTACCTCTGTCACATGAGGCTCACGTGTTAAATGGCGCTGTATCCTCGGCGGAGGGACGGCCCACTTTCTACAGATAAGGAGTCTCAGTGGGCGGCAGGAGGCCTACGTCAGAGCGCAGGGCGGCGCCTATCCGATCCCGTGTACCTCCATGCTGAAGTGTATTGAAACAAGGCTGCATGCGCCACTGCTCGGAGAACGTGCTGGCAGTGAAAGAGTGAAGGACTTCAATGGGCTTGGAGCACGAGGCGAGAGGGAATGGCGCCAAAAATACATACAGTTACACCATTAAAAATACTATAGTATGTCTATAGCCTATACTATTCATTTGCAGGTTTATTATACGGCAGTAATGCTTTATGTCATCAAGTACAATGGAATCCATATAGTGTTTTCTAATGCATAGATGTTTAAAATATTTAAATACAATCATATTTATACTCAACATTTCATTGATTATGTAGGAACAATATCAGTTTATAACACACTGTTACTGTTGTCACTTGTTGCCAACTCTCTAATTTTATTATGTTCACTTACATTTTATAGTGCTGCTACTCATTTTTGTTTTGATTGATGTGTACTCATTTGATTTTCTTTTATTAATGTGTGCTTGCCTCTTTTTTTAATGTTAGTCTTCTACTCTAGTAATCGTAGGCATCTTTGTATTTAGCCTGCACTGTCCAATTGCTTTTAAATTGTAAATGTCCCCGCTGTGTGATTCTGACTATTTATTTTCCTTTTAAGTTCTGGTAGAACATAATACATGATAATATTTGATAACACTTTCAGCATAGATTAATATTTAGTACATTCAGAAGTATTCTTTATCAAAAAGTGTGCAGCAGGCAGGTGCTGAGGTATTAACAGTGTGTCCAGGGCGTGATAACCACGTGTACTTGAGGGTATGATAGTGTGGAGAGGGTTTGTTGTGATGAGGCGGTGCCAGCTGTCACGTTGATCTCCTTATGGCACCAGGAGCCTGCTGAGTGCGCCGTGCACATCTAGCTCATCCAGCACAAGGCGGCTGCACCTGTCTGCTGCAGGCTATACGCACTGATCACAAACATACCCTCTCATAAACGCTGATTATCAGAAAGTAGGCCTACATTTTGTTGCAACATCAAACGTTGTATTAACACAGGATTAATCCTTAATTTTGTCATTTTAGGGCAATAGAATAATATCTCTTTACACTCTAAAATGTCTTCAAGAAATTCTCATTAACAATATTCTTCTGTAAAATAATAGGATAATGAAGTGGGCATAGACTTTGATTATGTACTAACAATTGTAACAAACACATTTTTCAGCCTGAATTAGACCATTACAGTCCTATAACAGCTTAATGACCTTTAATCTAATTACACTGATACACAAACAGTTCATAAATGTCATAGGTAAACAGTACTTTGAGTTACAATGGTCTGAATTGTAAATTGTGAAGATTGGCCCTTTTTTTTACTGTCAAATTGAGAGCCGCAGAAGGAAGGTAACCTAGTTTGGATTAATGACCTACTGAAGCCAGAATTATAATGTGGTTGGAGAATTATTTTATAAGTCTATTACTGAAAGCCGGATGAGAACCAGGAATTCCTGAGTAAATGAAATATAAATAGGATGGTATATAGGAAAACAACGATGGAAAGCCCCTTGAAGAAAGTCTAATTAGATTCTAATAAAATCACGACAATGGCACCTTTGTTTTAGTTCAATCATTTTGTAACCATAATTGTATCAGCATAAAGCTAAACAAAGTCTATATTCAGTTTTTTATATTTACTGATAAAATGTTAATTTAATTAATTTGACACAAGCTTGAGCTGCTCATAAATGTTTCTGTAATAAATGAGCCCAATGACAAATATATTTGATTGGTAATGTTGTTAAAGGTGTTACAATAAGCCATTTCAAAAATACATTTCAGTTGAGCAAATTCTCTTTATGTGATATAAGCTGTATTTATAATATATTGTCAGTCTTTCAAAAAAGTCAGTTTCTAAATTGAAAAACATATATGATCAGTCGGTGATGTGATAAAATCCAAATAGTTCAAGTTAAACTAAAACTGTGCAACCTCTGTTGATGCTCAACATGCCAACATATGTCCTCATTATAAGATAAGGACACTTCCTGATTTGTAGACTACAGATAAGATTTCATCTTCCATCAGTTTCCTGTGAAGCTCTTCATTCATCTGACTGAAGCATTTTATTGTCAATTATGTGTTGGTCTTTGCCTGGACTTACAAATCAATGCAGATACTCTTTCACACTCGGAAACAGATTATTTTACACACTTGTTTATTTAAATAGACTCCAACAATGGAATGTTTCATTTCAGACACAAACCATCTATTAATATAAAAGTTCAGTTTGGTCAAGCAGCACTCCAAAATGATATCTATTAGATTTCTCTATTTTCCCCTCACATATGCTCAGACACGCCAACAGTCATTCTTTAGTGGGTCTTTACAAAGTGACGTAACAATCATTTGCGTGCTACAGAAAATATCAGTGCTTTAGGACTAAATGAATGAAAGGAAGATTACATAATTCAGTGCAGAGAATAATATCTAATTTAACCAACGTTTCTCCCAAAATCCTATACATTTGGTTCAACTGTACGATGTGACTTCATGTCACTTCTATTCCTACAGTACAACATGGAGCCAGCTTCAGAGGGAAGCAGTCACATGATTGGCTCCTTCTCTACAGTGGGTCTATATCAACATTTATAATTGTAGAAAAGTTACTAAGAGGTCAGTATGTACTCCTAACAAATGTAAATGTCTCCTCAGAAGCCTTTCTAATCGTAAGAGCCTTTCAATGAAGACAAGTTGTACTTGAGATTGCAAAATATTGTGAAAGTGATTATGAAACTTTGCAAAAAACATGTTGACCTCTTTGGGATTGTGGACAAGTGTTGTGTGTCTCCATATTTGAAATAGAAAATAGAAAATACATATCCCAAAATGGTTAATTCTTATTGGGAAAATCCTGTCATGTAAGTATTTATGTTCCTATCAGCCAAAAGCTAAATGCTAAAAACACGAAGGTTTTGTCCTCATATGACATGAGTTTGCTGGAGCACCACTGATGATAAACATCCATTACAAGGCTACTTGGGAGGATTACACCCCCAGGAACAATGGCTGACCTTTGGCATGGTGTTAGTATGATACAACGCAGAAGGCATTTGGGGTAGTAAAGCTGAATTCAGTGTTTTCATCTCCTAAACCCACAGGACTCGCTTCTCAGGTCCCGAGGCACTTGGGGCACACTTCGCCCACACAGACACATCCACACTACAGTCCGCGAGTAACATACTCAAATAACTTTCGCTTCACCCAGACACTCAGAAGCACGCATGTTGTAGAAACACTTATTGTAGGAGTCTCTGGTGAAGTATACAGTCAGACATTGACCTAAATACATACTGAAGACGGACATCATTTGGCATTCTCCTGTCCAACATGACGTGCACTGACAGGAGTGCTCAGGCACTGGTGAAACTGGCCCCAAGGGCCCTCAGGCAGGCTGCTGGGGATTGATGTTCATGTGAGGAGGATGACCAAGAAGACCAATCCGTTGCTTCTGCTTCCTCTGCTCCGTCATCTGCACAGGGAAAACGAAAAATTGTAGTTTTACAGGGTTTTTACATTAGGTAGCTTTATGGTGGTTGGTAGGCGCGTTTTGTTTATTTTGGAACGAGTCAGGCTAGCAATTTCCCATTCTTCAAGCTAAGCTACGCTAACTGGTTGCTGGAAGGGGCTTTCAATTTACAGAGGTATCGATTGCCACATCCTAATAATTTAATACTCAAATAATTATTGTGGTGGTAATGTAATGGTAATTGTATTGATATTTATAAAAATGTAACTAGTCCTTAATGGCCTTTCCTGTATACTTGTTCATTAAACAGCTTTGTGGTTGTGAGTAACCACAGTACTAGGGTGTAGGTTGTCAAAACATTACCAAAGGCTAAATGAATCTGAAAAAAGGTTCAAATGTTAGTGTATAACAAACTGAGGGCGTGCATGATTTACTGTCACACTGTATACCTGCTCCTTGAGCTCAGTCAGCTGTCCTGACAGGTTGCACACCAGCCTCATGGTGGACTCCAGCTTCTCCTGCAGGTTCCTGATTTCATTTTGCTCCCCCTCTGCATCACTGCTCACCAGTGACATGGCTCGCATTCGTGGGAACCAGTCCAGGTTGTGCTCCTGTGGTCGACCAAGCACATACACCACTGACTTCAGTACATTTACTAGGAATTGTTAAAGTTACGTCATGTCAAAAAAGTATTGGTCATTTTAAACAGGAGCTTATTTGGAAATCAAGGGCTTGAATCTGATTTCACGATGGCATCAGTCTGTTTTTGAAGAAATAGGCCTGCATGGTATATTGCCACAGGAGTAACAATGGGGAGTGAATGATCTTAGACCAAGCAAATCCCGTACGACGAATGGAAATACCAGCGAACTGACCAACGAATACTTATCATTCGTTGATCAGTTTTAGGGTTACATGGAAACTCATGTAACGTCATCTACTGTCTTCCTGTTTGCCTGCACAAGTCTGTTTGCGTGATTACATTTGATGAGCGGCATGTCTGTCAGTTGAGATAAGAAAAGAGGAACACATTAGTGTTCAAATGTGTGTGAGACATGTCTGTACAGGTTTACCATTCTGACTCCAAAGCATTACCTAACATCGTTACTGTAACAGAAACGTGACACAAATGTAAAGGCCTATCTGATTGTTCATTCATTCTGCATTGCTGCACCAGAACAGCATCTACAGAAGCAGCACAGGCACACAGAATGTCCATACAAATAAAAAATGTACAAGGACGAAATATAGAGCATCAAGCTGTGAAGTAACTTAGTGGACCGGACAAAAGTTTCCGTGCTGAAAAACATGTTTTTTTACTATTTGTATTCCCTGTAGAGTCGACAACCATCCTGTTGCTCCTGATCTCATTAAACACATTAGGCCTGCACTGAAAAGTGTGTGTTTGTTTGAGAGTGTTTCAATGCTTTTCATTCACCTCGATCATTTCAGCCACGTAGCTCTCGGGTCCTGTGTATTCGGTGGAGTCTTTAACTTTTACCAGCACAATAAAAAAGAGGTAGTGCCACATGTTGTGCTCCTCTTTGAAGTGCTCTTCAAAAGTCACCGTCTTGTTGTCAAACTTGTCCCGCTCCAGACCTGTAAAAGGGGGAATAACAAATGTTTTAATGGCACAAAGTTTGAAAAGTAGCTTTAAGAAAAAAAAATGGCCAGCCTCTAGAGTAGCAGTTTCTGATGTTTGTGAGGGGAACATGAAACTTTGTGACGAAGTGTGAAGGTGACAAGAAAATATGCAAAGTAAATGAAAACATGTATTCAAGTGTCATTGAGTGTAAAGGTCTCATTTACAAAAGAAACAAGAGAACAAAATTACATATTGGGTAAGTTTCCCTATTTAGCCCACCAAATCTGCTTTACAGATTTTTTTTATAGATACTGCCTCAATTAAGGGGAAAACATCAGAGATAAAACAAAAGCCTTATCTCTCATTTTAAATTTCAACAATATTGTTGATATTATTATTCCTTTTCCTGTCTTCAAAAATGAGAGATGTCACATTGTTCCCTCCCTGTACAGACGGCATTCTTCTATCCTGTGTGGGCATGAACTGTATTTCCTTGTCTTTTAATAATTTCAAAATAACTGAAAATATGGCTAATGTCAGGATATAGTACACATGTAGGCATACAATAATACTTTTATAATATATGACTAATGCAATAACATTGATACCTAAATATGTTTTTTTATAATGAGAGTTAAGGCACTGATTCATCAGAACAAAGAGAAGGGAAGGGAATTGTTTTAAGCTCAAAAGGGTGAAAACATGTATGATAAAATCAAGAAGGCTTTATGGTGAAATTAATGAATATGTGTTTTAAAGACAGAGTACTTTAATCCAAATACATGACATTATTTATGCCTGATTTCCTGAACAGAAATTATTTTAGCTACGGGTACAAATGAAACCATGGCAGGAGGTTCACATCATAATCGTTGGCTACAGACCTTAAAGCCTTAAAACTAATGGAAGATTGAGAGAAAGATCGATGTCTCATAAACGCAAGCTGGAGAGGATGGAGAGCCCCTTAAGCATGCAGAGGTCGGCTCCTAATCTCTGCATCTCCTGTTCCCTTGCGGCTCTTCAGGAAACCATAGAGACGGCAGCTCCCCATGTGGCCTGGCCTTCTTTAACACGAGTGAGTCAGAGGAGCTGCTGGCTTGCTGGGTGACATAATGCTGTTTTCGTTCCATATGTTTACCACTTGTCCCGACAGCCTGACCCAACACGCACAAACGCTCACATACAGCACATCTTCTTGGGCTCACACATATGTACTTTACAGTCCGTCACATTCTCAGCAGCATGGTGTCCTTTTTTTAGGCACTCACAAATATAATGTGCATATAAGGAAATGCAGAGGGTCACACAATAGGCAATGAGTATAGATGCCCAAACATATGGTTTGAAAATGAAGTGTGTGTGAGGTAGTGGGAGAAAATGTGTGTGTGTGAGACAGACATGAATTATGGAGGCGACCAGAGCAGTGGCAGGAAGCTCTCATGACTCAGCCTTCTTTGGAACGACAGCTAAGTGAAACAGGGGGAGGGAGAGAGGGTAGGGGAGTGAAGAAAAACACCATGCACCTATATAGTCCAAACCACAATCACAACAAGAAATCAAACGTTTAGAGAGGGGAATTTGGGAATTAAAGTAACCTAGTGAGACGAGTTTAATTGTTGAAGAGTGCTAATGACGCACAGGAACGTTGCAATAGAGTCATTACAACAACAGAGCACAGACCTATACCAGGCAGACAGGATGCCCTAAGGATTAGAGAAGTCATCCTGGCACTTGGAAGTTAGAGGATGGATCAGAACATGCTGACTGCTTGGCAAAGAGAGCTGTGCCAAAAATAATAAAAGCTAGATGTATAGAGATGAAAGGAAATATGAATATTTTTGTGGATTCGGATTAAAAACACTCAAAATAGGTTGATTTAGCTGAATTCACATTATTGGGATGATTGTGAATATATCTAAAGTTAAAAGATACAGGAACTATGTAGTAAGAACAGATTCACGAGGTTACTATTGTTAGTTAGGAAGCCGACAAATAATTGTATCAACAGATCAGAGAAGTCTTACCGCAGATAAAGCAGGTAGTCTTCAGGACTTCTTCTTTCTTCTGTTTTTCACTCCTCAGGTCAGCAAAGGTATCGATGATAACACCAAAGATGAGGTTGAGGACTATGATGATGACCATGAAGAAGAACAGCAGGTCGTAAATCACTCTGGCTGCAAACAGAGGCTCCTTTGAAAGGAACAGGAAACACAAATGAGTAAAACAGTAACTTCTGCACAATTATTATTTAGAGGCAGTGACTAGAGAACAACAGATCATAATAATTAATATGTTTATTTTGATTGTACAGCATCGACAAGGAGTGAAGTGATTGCCCCATTCCAATGTATGAGCCAAAGGGCAGGTCTTTACATATGTCGGGGGAAATGATCATGGCTCTTAATAGAAAACAAAAAACCACAGGTCTGTTACCTTAGCCAATCAACCAGATGCAGCCTGTTTCTGTCTAGGTCAGACACCATTTAAATAGAGATGTTCTACTTTAAATCATTATCAAATTGAGCTACAATGGACTTCAATGACTTCAAACTGTGCTGTAAGTACATTTTTTCATTCACTCATTTTCCACTTCTAGCTAATCATCTTTAAAGTAATGCTAGCCTAATGCAGTCTCACATATTCAGGCCCTTGTTGCATTATGCTGTTCATACGTGAGCAAGACATTCACATCCTCTTATGACATCATTAGTGGTTGAGGCTGTATTCGGTGGAAATCTATGTTGATGTTCAATTCCCAAAACAGGCGGAGGCAGAGCAGCTGCAAGGAAAAATTGTGAAACCTTTTTTAAAAACAAGTTCAGCGCAGGGTGAGTTTGCAGCCAGCTCACATGACCCTCGCTGCAGCTGCACACACACCTACACACACTAGTAGGGTAAGGCGCCTAATTAGAGTTTCATGTACCTCTTTGGAAGGCTTGCGGAGCACATCCCCGACCCCCCCCCCACTCCTCAAGCCATGACTCAGCACAGTGACGATGCACATTAGTAGAGAGTCGCACGTCCGCTCCATGCTGCTTTCCACCTCAATGTTCTGCCCCAAATCTGAGGAAGCCAAAAGGAAAGGAAATCCTTATCTATTCATTACATCTATAATAAAATGTATATCATGACATCAAAGTACCACTTAGGAAACTTATTGCATTGCTTCAGGGAAAAAGAAAGGTATGATTCAATGCACTGCAACTTATTTATTTTAATTATAAGCTGTAGAATAATTGTTTTCTATAATCTAATAGCATCACATACTGCTACTGCTATTATTTATTCATTATTATCATTTTTATTCAGATATTATGATGACGTATTTCATATAAGCAATCTGTATTAAAATATCCCATACATTTTAATTGTGCAACATTTCAATACAACAGACAACTTCATCAGGCATCGTCAAATTATTAAAGACGCCTGATGATATTTTAACAGGTCAAAAATATCTGTAATCTGTGTATGAGTGGGATTTTATGTCACTGTGTAAATAAGGTACTACTTTTTAAATATCCTTGACTTAGTAGCAGAACCTTTTATCTGTTGTAACCTTGTTTACATGTTTTGGGGGACAGTTTGAAGGCGGTTAGTCGAAGCAAAAGTGTTTTTGTTGAGATGAAATGTACAAATGGCCTTAGTTGAACTTGTTGTTCTGAGCTAGACAGAAAAACAAAGATTAACATTTCTAAAAGATTTATCCAATTCGATAACGTTTGTAGGTCATTGAAGAATAACCTAAGAGATATTCAAATGTTGGACAGGAAACAACATATCATGATCCCTGCTAACTGTGTTGATTATCCTTTTAATGTCTAAGGGAAAGAAACTGATGCTGTTTTTCTCAAATTGGATCACAAATGAATATCACATGAGAGCTGGAGAGGTGACAAGGAAATGTGTGTTAATTGAAATAGCCATTATGTGACAGTTGTCAGATTCACATGAATTAAAGGTGGGGAAGGTAAGTTTGAGAAACCGGCTCGAGATACACTTTTTGTTATATTCCATGGAATGCTCTTAACATCCCGATAGCATTGAATATCTTAAGTGCTTTGAAAACAAATCCATAAAAAAATGTCATCTGTGGAAGCCGTAGCGCTGTAAAAAGCACGACTGATCATTTTAGCCTAAAATAACTGGATGTGCACAAACTTATCTCGTGCCCTCATTGGTCATGTGCGCGTTCGTTGGAGAAGGGGCAGATTTTTCCCGGTTGTGTATTTTCAAATTCTAGCGCACTCGAGCTGGTTTCTCAAAAATTACCTACCCCACCTTTAAGGTGTAAATGATTGTGATGCTTCAGGACAAAAGGAGGTATTGTGGCCTGACAATGCAAAGTAAGATTCACATAAATGATTCACTGATTTCACCATATCAATGTCTTCATTAAATTCTTGCCAGGTTGTTATCTGTATTTTGTCCTAATTTTCAAATATCTACGATAGTCTAGAAAAACCTTAAACCCAGGCTTTTTTCTAACTTTGCAACTAACATTAACCTTTTAAACTGGGATTGGATACTATGTAGATATTGTAAGAATGTTGTTTTAATTTAGTCGCAGGAAATTGGCAGAAAAACAAAGCTTTTTAGGGATTTAAATATTTAGATAAAGACACAATCTTCATGCTGTTAAACCCATTGTTGCAGTATAAATTACCTTCCGGCGGGGCTTCTGTGGTGCAGTTCTCATCATTCCCTCCCTGACACATTCCTGCAGACAGAAACTCACTAGCCAAACTGGCTCCATTTTCTAGAAAGTCGGAAGAGACAGTGCTTACATTTTCTTGTCTGATTAAAATGAAAAACTTAAAATCAATATTCCTTTAGGACTGTTTGTAAAAATGGCAAATGACAGAAGTCTGTCCTCACTCAGAGTTGTGTTGGGGAGACGATCCACCTCCAGGATAAAGTCGTCCTTGAAGAAAATGTATCCAACAATGGAAAACAGGTAGACCAGGATGAGAGCCAGCACAGCGGTGAGCACGATGGAGCGTCCATTACGAGTCACACTCTTGATAACATTCAGCAAAGTCTCTTCTCTGTATACCAGGTCGAACAGCTACAGGAGCAAAGCACATGTTACGATTCAAAGCGATACATCTTTTTCAATTTGTTAACTGTAAAATGTATTAATGGTTCTCAAAAGGAAAAATCTGAAATTGTAAACATGTAAGAAATAATTCAGGTTACAGACTGCTATATTCTATATACAGTTTTACCTGTATTTGTTGCAAGGTGAATGTGAGAAAACACAAAAATGCACAAGTGGCAAGAAATCAATTGGTCTGCTGGATTAAATGCTTGCATTGCTAGCATTATGTGGCTTTTATACATTCTGCTTTTACACTAAATCAAAACAATTTTTTGTCTAACATGCATAACTAGTTTTCAGCATCTTGTAATAAAATAAGTACTTATGGTGTGCTGCTTCTGCAGATAAAGCTGCATTGGCTTATGTAAATGGAAAACATCTTGAAATACTGGCATATTCAGTCTGACACAATATAAAGCAGACCTGAGGCACTGGTGCACGGCACTAAACAGCCCAACAACAAGAAAACAACAACATCATTACAGAACCAAATATGGTCCCTTCTGGCTTGAAAGTATATGTCCTTGAATGCACCATGATGGAAAGCTAATGCTTCATTCAGAGTAAATTTGACACATGGTTTTACTCAGTTAGCCCTTCTGAGTAAGTTCTGTGTGTGTGTTTGCAAAGGTGTTAAAGGATTCTTAGAATGTGTGTGTTCTCAAGTTGTGTGTGTGTGTGTCTCTCACCAGCAAGCTGTAGAAAAAGACGTGGACAAACACCCCCAGAGAGCATATGATGAGGTAAAGGAGGTGGTAGAGGAACTCAACGTCCAACACCATTGCTTTGTAGCCTCGTGTGAAGGTTCCTCGGTTCCCCACGAAACTTATCAGGAAGATGATTTTATTGCACACCTGGAAGACAAAAGCAACTCTGAGTGTTAATAACAAGAATAAAGGATAATCACGGATTGCCTTCCTTAAGGGGGTGCAGGCATGGTAAAAATATTTCAGCATGGTGGGTGTCGTTTTTTTAAGCTCAATGAGGACACACTGACTGTGTATACAGGAACATAAGTCATTGATTTCTCAAAATGTAATGTAAAAACTCAGTTAACACGAGTCCACATGAAAAAGAAACTGACTTCTTGATCATGAGCTCACTTAACAAGAGTGCATGTACAGGATTTATAGTGCAGGGGGAGTATAACTGTGACAGCAGTGGGAAGAGGCATAGAAAATATGAGAAGATAAAAGGAAAATAACACTATTTAAAAACAAAAAATGACTTTTGGTCCGTTGCTTATAAACTAGTTTTAGAGAGTAACGCGTTACTGCAATCCATTGTGACGTGTTGTCTAATTTTCTATGTGATCGCTCTCAATAACCCAGTTTCTTGTGTACATGTCAACATAGAGATTGAGAGTAAAGATGAGTGTGTTTATTTTGTGACTTTATTTTGTGTGTGTGTATGTGTTTAAGAGCACATCTAGAAATCTCTAGCTGGTGCAGGCGTGGTGTCACTCCCTCTTGGGTCCAGTGACGCACTTCACACCCAAAGCACAGCAGGGCTCTGCCAAGGAGAAGTTGAAGGGACAGGGGGCGACACCGCAGGCAGAGCGGGGTGCCAGCATGAGTGAAAGCTGAAAGGAGAACTGGAACTAGTGTGGTGCAAGTTTCTCAGTATTTGAAAGTAGTAGAAAATAGATGGTATGTTTTTAGCCTTTCTCTGGGGAATATTTTTTATTAACCAGACAAACACACACTATTACACACTGGACAGATGAGAACATGTCAAAGTGTCAGCTCATACAAAATAAATGGAAAACATAAACGTGTACTAAGTTGAATCTTGCCATGCAGAGAGTTTTGAGTTCTGCCTTTAAACCAATAAAATGGAAGTCAATTAATTGAATGAGGTGCTCAAACAAAGTGAACAGTTTTCATACATAGTGAGTAGTTATACAGTAGATAATTATGAAAATAGTACCTGATGTTTTTTGGTTTGATTAATACATACATAACCCATTTATTGTTTCAGCTTTACACAATTACATTTCTGTTTTAAACATGCAAAAGAAAACGTCAGCAATGGATCACTCAGAAGCTGGGTAACCCCTGCTAAGTTGCTGAAGAGACCCTTTAGAATACTCACATTGAAGGCACCCAGAAGGAAGAGTGTTGGCTCCAGGCCAACAGAGAAGATGAGACGAAGGATTGTGATGATGACGAGGGCACGGATGCCCAGCGGTTGGGGCATGATGATCACAATGACCATGGTGGCAAAGACTCCCATCCACAGCAGCGCAGACAGGTGGGGATCCAGCATACCTGCTCAGAAATAAATGTAGGTAATAATGCAAATGCAAGCCATTAAGGATACTTGCTAAAAGTGCTGTATTTTAAGGCAAGTTCTGCCTCTCAGGCAGGCCTCAGGCCTTCATTAGTGAGACTTTTTACTGAAAGAGAGCCAGTTATATAACACCCACAAAGTATATGACATACTTTTTGATGTATGTGTGTTTTAAGCTTGAGTGAGAGCCTACCTGAAACTTCCAAATTATCCCAGGGTAAACCCAGGATTAGTGAAAGGGGTTTCATGTAGCAGAATATCACTCAGAATATCACTCAGGCTAAAACACTCAACCAATACAAGAGAGAAAGATGATGAGAAAGCAGGAGGGGAGTACTGCGGGTAAGGGAACTCTCCTCTCCTCCCACCTTGCTTAACTCTGTCTCCTTCCCTCTCTCCCTTCCTCTATATTCCTCTCCCTCCCAATCCCTGTGGAGATCACATGACAGGTGCCACTTACATAACAGCGATCTCTAAAAATACCTCAGCTGAAAGATTCATGAGGGAGCGAGCAGGGAGCAACACGCAGCTCCGGTGATGTGGCAGACTCAACAGGGGCTCTGTAGCTACCATGCACTTCAGTTTAATGATTGTGCGTAAACATCTGTAAAATCCACAGTTGAGGAGGCACTACGTCAAATGGCAGTCAGTCATGCATACAGTCAGAGAACCCTGCCCTGTATCTCCTGCTCTTATCACACTCAGTCTAAAGCTCTGAGCAAAGGAGGGTGGACACCAGTGTGTGTCTGTGTGTGAGAGAGAGAGAGAGAGAGAGAGAGAGAGAGTGAGAGAGAGAGAGAGAGAGTGTGAGTGAGTGAGTGAGTGAGTGAGTGAGTGAGTGAGTGAGTGAGTGAGTGAGTGAGTGAGTGAGTGAGTGAGTGAGTGAGAGAGAGAGAGAGAGAGAGCAGGGGCCCAAAGCCGTAAAAGTGCCTGTTAAAGCAGGTCAAAGGTATGCTGGAGTCTCACGTGATGATGTTTTGCACACAGAAAGAGTTCCAGGGAACAGTCAGCCTTTACTCATGCGGTGCACTCAATAACTAAAGACAACATGTAATTGTTCTTTTGTCACAAAGTAAACAATATGATTGTATGAATTACTGAATATCATATTTAGGCTTACTTGTTTTACTCTGTTATGTATTTTTTGTAATTTGCTAGAAAATCAATACAACTGACCTTAAAGGTGCCACATGTACAGACACTTGAAAAAGGAGTCTATTTTATTATGGCCCTTTAGAAATGACCTGCAGGCTAGACTCAATCTAGACTCCCTCATTTTTCTAACCACACAAATATAATAAAACAATATACATGGGTTAATTTGTTTTATCTGGGTTTGTAAAGAACTAATAATATGAGATGTAGGTAAAGGAGACATTAGTTGTTTTATGATGTCTTAGATTGCATTTTTAATGTCATGAAAATGAAAATGACACGGAGTGCTCCTGTGTGTGTGTGTGTGTGTGTGTGTGTGTGTGTGTGTGTGTGTGTGTGTGTGTGTGTGTGTGTGTGTACACAAAGGAGAGAGATTCTCAGATCCTGCTCCTAATCCTAGTCAGGTATTTAGAGCATTGTTGTAAAAAAGGGATCAGTGGGTCAATGCTGAGGCTGGACTGAGAGTCAGCTAGTCTAAAACTTTATTTGTGTGTGACTTCATCATGTGACATGACTTTACAACTCCTTACTTTCTAATCACTGGATGTATATTCACGACTTAGATTTTCTTAGAAATGAATGCTCCAATTTTTAAATATCACTGCAGAAAACCTCACATCTTTTTCACATCTTTTCAACAAGCCATAAAAAAGCAGGCTGAAAAAGATCATAGCCTTTTTGCAGCAGAACAACAAGTCAGCAAGCCCTTGTTCTTCCTGTGTTGCATTGTTGAGCGCATCACCTTTGTCTGACCCTGGTTTCAAAATCAGTCTGAGTGCAACAGTGCAATACATTCAAATAAGCTTCTATATAAGAAGCATCAATACAACATCCGCATGCACAACATGATTCGCTACAGAAACAGTAAAGGTTTCATATGCACCAAAAAGGACGAGGACTAAGCTGAATTATACTTCACAGAAAAAGAGCGTACATATTATTCAAAATGATAAAGTCTGGAGATGTGGAGTAAGATCTTACGGATGTATTAATGACAGGATGTCAGCAGGGTCAGGGTTCAGTTTTAAAAAGCTTGATCTCACGGTCAGATTTCTTCTCATTTGCGACTGACCTGCATGTATCCCCTCCAGGGGGTAGAAGAAGCAGACCAGCAGGTTCATGAGCACAGCCAGGTTGAAGGAGACGTTGCTCCACACCGACATGTTCCGGGAGCACCAGTATAGCACGGGTTGGGCTGAGCAGAAGAGAGAAAGTAGAACATTTCTCTTACATTTGGTCACTTCAATTCAAAAATCCTCAAAACATCAGATTGCTTGCACAGCCCAATCACCAGTCCAAAGCAAAGTATATTTTAAGCAGCAAATCTTCAAATTAAACACACCAGGATTTGATCATATTTGTAATGATGATAAATGTTTCAACTGAGTTTTAACAGTTTACATGACTTATTGTTGCAGCACTTTAAAATTGATCATCACCCACAGGCCATAAGACTGTTAAACACCTGAACTAAGAACATCCATAACATTCACCTGTTTGCAACTCACAAATGATGTATCACTTGTATATAGACTATGGCAATACTTCTATTCTATTTTATTGTATTTACTTGCACTATTTTATCTGGTTTATTGTGTTGCACTGTTGGAGGAGCCTGTGACCTAAGATTTTCATCGACATAAAAATTTGATTAAATTTGACAAAAATGACATAGGGAGTACTAGACAGAACTTCAAACAGCCACCATTCTTAATAAAGTATGTGCAAATGCTCATAGCATAATAAAGCTCAAATAAAGAAGAAACTCAAGCAACTTTGACCTTTGACATACAGTCTAACTTTGAATAGAACATTTTCAATTCTGTGGTATTAGTGGAAAAGAGAAACAGATGCAGGGACTTTTCTCTGTCCATCCCCTGTTCTGAGTGAGAGACAAAATATAGCTTTGTGTGGGTTATGCAGTCTCATATCTGAATTAGAACTGTGACTGAGTGTGGGTCTGTGTGTGTGTGTGTGTGTGTGTGTGTGTGTGTGTGTGTGTGTGTGTGTGTGTGTGTGTGTGTGTGTGTGTGTGTGTGTGTGTGTGTGAGCACACTATCAGTTGTGATTCATAAGATTACTGTACAAATGTTTCACGGCTCAAAGAATGTGGAAAGCCCCTGTCTGCATTTAGACAGTGGAAACATGTAAACACACAGGATGACATTATTAGCCCTGCTGTCGAGGTGGGGACGCATGCTTCCATACTCGCTTATCCTGTTCAGGCCTGCCGGATTTAAAAGGCCTATCCCAGCATGCATTGGACAAGAGGAAGAGTGCACCCTAGACATGTCAACAGTCCCTCATTAGGACACGCAGTCCCTCATTTGACACACAACAAAATATATACGGTAGTTAATTTGGAGACAAAAAATTGGTCATGGAAAAATCAAATTACATTACTTTACATGTTAGACGCTTTTATCCAAAGCGATTTACATACTCAATACTGTGGGCAATCCCCACAGGAGCAATTTGGGGTGAAGTGTCTTGCCCAGGGAAACAACGACATGCTGACTGCAGTGGGGTTTGAACCTGTGACCCCTTGATCCGAACGCCAACGCTCAACCCACTGCACCACACCAAATTAATCATTATGGTGTCGCATTTCCCACCCACCACTCCTGTCATCTACGATTGTATGTATCTACTATGTAGATTATTGTCAACAGTACACCTTGTCCAAAGCAGTACAGTATGGAAACAATTGTATGATTATTTTATTAGCCAATTAACAGACAATCATTTGGGAAATGTATTAATAATAGGCCAATTGTTTGGATCATTTATTGAGCAATTTTGCATTTACTTCCAATTTCTCACATTGAGAATTTGCTGGTTTTAAAAGTATTTTATATTTAGTTTCATATACTTTAAAATCGTATATCTTATTTTTTTTTGTTGCAAAACAAGTAACCTGAAGACGTTGTGCTGCTTAGAGTTTTGTTTTGGGCCGGTGATCACTTTTTTGTGATAATATTTCTGATTAATAATGATCATAGTTATTGAATCGTGTGTATCCATTTTCTCAGCTGGGAGCATTATTGCACTTTTCATCTAATTTTGAGCTTCAATTTATGAAGAACCGACAGAGAAAGAGGTTATAAAGTACAGACAAAATCAAGTGAATAAGGAAACTCTAGTGAATAGTTATGTTATGTTTTGTACAATGGTGATCCTGCATTAAAGGACCATTAGCAGCAACACTTATACATGTTGACCCTACCTCTGAGTTTCTTCTGCCAGTTCATTTCATTGAAAAGGTCCTCTGCTGACAGGAAGAAGTCGTTGATCTTGCTGCCCTGCTCGTCTCTCTCTGTGGTGTAGTACACTCGCAGCTTTGATTCAGAGGTCAGGAACTCACAGATGTTGGGCACGGGGAACACTATCTCCTCCATGGTGCGGTCCTGGCGCACAATCTGAACAGAGACAACCACATTCACCTTGACATCGGCAGGTTTATTGTAGATTTGCAAATAAACTGTAACCAAAATACAAACAGTTTCAGGGGAGATTGTGGTATAAAGATATGTTAGCGGTATAGTAGTTTTTGTGGCTTTCCCACTTTCCAAACAACATAAGAAGCTGTTGTCAAACAGCCATATTGAGCTATATTTGCTCAAATGTTGAGTGTCTATGGGATAGATTGAACACAATGATCCAATAGGCACACAGGAAACACAAGACAACAAGCAGGTTAACTAAGAGGGTTGTTGGGGTGCCTCTTTCCAAGCTTTGTGTGAGGGAAAGCCCCCAGACTCAGAATTTCTGTGAAATTATACGACAGATATCTTTAACTAGTTATTGTGGCAATGGTTTTGTGTTATAACCTCTATTTGAGCAGTGTGGTTGGCGTAAAACTCCAAGGCTTCATCTCCCTCTCCGTTGGCCCCTCCCGGCTTCAACATTATGGACAGCTCCTTATTATGACGCGCCAACTGTAAGAGGACACACAGACCAGAAGTGAGCCCATCACTAAAACATCATATGGATAATGTGCGGCTCATATTCCTCTATGAATGGATACTACAAAAAATGTTTTCTAGGATTGTCAATGTAGTATTATAAAAAACATGTTTCTGAGATGAGGTGCTGACCTGGTGAGCTAAAATGTAGATATTGTGTCCCACATTTCGGGGGGAAGCAGCATCGTGTTCCTCCTCTTCCCCGTTATCCTCCTCCTCCTTTGTGTCTTCAACCTCTACCTCGCCCTGCAGATAGGCCTTCTTTATTACCTCCACCTGAACACACAAACACACCTATATGATACTGAAAAACTTTGGAAATAGCTCGCTTTACTTGAGATGTAAAGAGCAACTGGGAAAAGGAAAAGATGCACATCAGCAGATCCTCACCAGTTCTTTAGGCCTCATATTGTACAGAATCCTCTCTGCATTTTCACTGTCATGGCGGCTCTCCATGATGGCAAGCAGCAGCTTGGATGCATTGTTCTGAGAGTGAAAAAAAGGAGAGAAAGCAGGCCGGGGAAAGAAAACTCCAAGATAAGAACTTAAGCCCTGTCAGTTTCTACCTCCAAAGAAAACAGACAGCTATTTGTCTTGGCATGCAAGCACAAAAGCTAGTTAAGCTCAGACGAATGAATCTCTTATACCAGTAGCCTGTTACTGATATTACATCCTGCTTTGAAATGAAACAACTGCACAGTTTTTTTTCTAATTTATTTTAGCCTAAGACCCCAGAGGATGATGAAGATGTAGAACCTTCCTCCAAACCGGTACGTCCACACGGTTCCGTCGCATTGAAGCTTGCTGGTGGGCATGTCTGGCGTGCGACCAACAACCAATCACATTCATCTACCGCCCCGGACACACAAGCACACGGTTTGATTGGCTAGCGCTTGTACTGGCATATGATTTGATTGGCTGGCGCTTCCGTTGACGCTTCAAAAGTTGAACTTTTCTCAACTTTCAGAGCGAGCAACGGAGGCAAAGCGACGTAACGGAACCACAATGCAGTTCGGCAAAGCTTGACGTAACCCCATTCAAAGTTAATGGGAAGTGTCTCTGTTGAAGCACGCAACGGAACCGTGTGGACGTACCACAGTACACCAACCCAGCTAACTCACCTTGAGCTCCAACACCAGGTCCATCCGCTTTTTCCCAAGTGGGTTGATGTCATTGAGGATCAGGGCAATTATGATATCAATACCGTTGGACTCGTGTGTGGCAATGCAATTCTGGAAGAAAGAAAGTGTTTATGAAAAAGTGTTCTTGTACAGTCCCATTCATCAGCTTTGGCTGGTCTCTTTATGTACCTGGTTTTCATGGCAGGGGCCTTGGCAGTACTCTGTGAGACTCTCCAGAGTCTGGTTGATGAGGGCAACATTCTTCTCGTTGATGTACAGTCCCAGCAGACCGAGACCACCTGTGGTGCTGCCGCAGATACAGTCCAGGAACTGCAGAGTCTCACACACCAGGTTGTAGTTGTTTTTGTTGTTTTGACAGCGAAGGAAGTTCTGAGAAGATACAAGTTGTTGGGTTTGTTTGACAAGAATATATCTGTTTCAACTCTATCTGGATTCAAAGCAATAATAAACCAAACAAATCCAAAAAAGATGTTAAAATGAGTTCTGCCATTAAAAATACACTCCTCTGTCCGTCAAAGGTCAACATAAGTTTTAAGAAGACCACAGACAGACAAGTAAGCACCCATAATTCTGTTTAGACCTCGTCTGCACTGTTGAACTCCACAGCCCACACTGTGCTGGCAGGCAGTGGCCACAAAGCTTAGCCTTTGCATGCTCATGTGCTGTAAATCTTTCCAGTGGGCTGTGTGCACTGAAAGGAATTTTACAGGGATTCTATTATTTTAAGCAAAGCATTGCTAGTGCTAAAGAAGTCAGAGATAAAGAGGTACAACCCTGAGACAAACATTATACTCCATTTCTGCTAAATACACAACAAGGCTAACTTTCTTTATCTCCCTAAAAACTAAAATATAGATCTCTGTTACACATGAGTGAGCAGTTAATACATGTTTTTATTTTTATTTTGTCAGAAGGAAGTCAGACCTGGCCTCTCATTCATATGACAATATATAGAGATCCAAACTGAAACTAGATGATCTGTAACTGGCCAAAAGCAATCACCTATTGTATTATATTGTTCAGATGTAGTAACACGTACACGCTTAAAGGTGGGGTGCGTAATTTTGGAGAAACCAGCTTGAGTGCGCTAGAATTTGAAAATACACAGCCGGAAGAAATCTGCTACTTCCTTACAGAGCCCCTCCTCCAACACACACGAACGGGTAGGGCCGGCCCTTGGCATAGGCAGTATAGGCGAATGCTAAGGGCGCATCAATCAATGGGGGGCGCCGAAAATTAAAAATAAAAAAATAAAAAAGTTAGAAATTAAACAAATATTTTTATTTTTTATTTCATAACAACACAATTTCCCAATTTTGGATCAACAAAGTACATCTTATTATCTTATACTAACAGAACTACGCCTATATTGCGTACAGCGCCCATAAACTATGGCGCACCCCCCCCCCCCTAATACTAAGTTACGAACGAAACCGTCGTCCCCAGCCCAGTAAAAACCAGACACGTTTATGTGAAATAGTTCTTTTTTTGAAATTAATGGTTTTAGTGTGCAATTATAGGTTGTTAATTTTGTATTTTGTGGTTAATTTAAAAAATAAATCAAACTCCCCCCAAAATACGTATACAAGCTTTAATTAACCATGAATTACGGTATAAGCCAGCCGCGTGGGGGAACGAGCTTTTAGAGAGGCTCCTCTCCTGAAGACTGAGGAGGGCTCTGATAAACCTCAGCTCAGTGAGGTAAAGGCACACCTTTAATATGATCATTATAGTTATAAAAATATAAGAGAATAGATTTCTTCATCTATTTCCCTTATAGTATTAAAATACTATATGACAGTCAAACAAAGTTTGTTATTAATAGAATACGAGTTAAAAAGGGAGTGATTTGTAAAAATATCCATAAATAAAAAAGAAAATCTGTTTACAGTTCTGTTTCATATGGGTGTTGAGAGATGTATCCATAGATCTCTTTAGTGTTGCTCTCCAAAGTGCAAACCAGATTTGATGCTTTTAACTTCAATATTTAAAAAAAATATATCTTGCCCGGGGAGATGGCCCAGACCAGGCCAGCTAAAATCTGGCCTAGGGCAGCAAATTGGTCAGGGCACGGCCCTGCGACACCGGGCACATGACCAATGAGGGCACGAGATAAGTTGTGGCACAGATGGAAAGGCTGAGAGGGCAGGGTAGGCAATCCAGTATTTAGTCCGGCCCGGCTAAAATGATTGGTCGTGCTTTTTACAGTACTACGGCTTCCACAGATAACATTTTTATGGATTATTTTGTCAAAGAGCACTTAAGATAATTCATTGCTATCGGGATGTTTTAAGAGCATTCCATGGAATACAACCAAAAAGTGTAATCTCGAGCCAGTTTTCTCAAACGTAGCTACCCACTTTAATTAATAATTAGGGTTGTACACTCATTTTAAATAATATAATATTACATCTCTTTTTCTTTTATTAATAAGAAAGAAATTCTGCCACAAATAAATCCGGCTGCAAATATTATTGACCATATTGACAGGGACACCAACTTACACCTAGAGTAAGGAAGGGTATTGTAGCTCAAGTGAAGATATCTTATCATAACTGTACATTGCATATTATACTGTAATAAACAGGAGTGTATAAGTAGAACAGTCCAGCCTCCACCTGTAGGTGCACGGTCTGTGAAGATTGATGATACAATCATATGGTCGATTCGTGGAAAGAGGAGTATAGGAGCCTCGGAGATGTGATTATGTAATTAGACGTAGACTGGATAATGATATACGACAATACCTGCATTTTCTCTAACTCTGCGTTCTGGATTTGATGTATGAACGCGGGTTTTAAAGCTTAATCTGCACCAGCCTGAGATTCCATGTAATAGCTATCATCTGGTGCTGGGCTGGCCGTTCAGCAGAGTTGAAATGATCCTCAGTGGTCTGCGTTCTTACGCTCGGTGATGGGCCTGGCTGTCAGCTGAGTTGAAGGATCTCGCAGGGTCTGCTCACGCTCGGTAGAGGAGTTATAAGAGCCTTGCTTGGTGGCTAGACGAGGCCTCTAGTAGCTGCGTCTTCTCTACATTCCTTACCTGGTCATGAGCCACTGCGATGAGTACTGCTGTGGTACTGAACAGCCGCAGACATGATAGCCAAGCAGCGAGTGCATGATAAGCGAGCAGTCAACAGGGCAACCAGAAATGCTCTTTTACTCTGGATTGACAAGTTATATTATTTGGTTTATTTCTAGAAATGTAAGGAATTGCATCTTTTCATTGTATATCTTTTGTTGATAACATCCCTGAAATTAATCATTAACCAGTTCAGCAGGAAATACAGAGAAATTGTGTTTCTCGGAAAATGTTATTTGTGGTTATTCTATGTGGATACCTGAGGGACCGTGATGTGTTGCTGACACGATGTCTGACTATGTGTTAGATTGTTATATATGTGTGAGTTATCCTGTTATATGTGTGCATGATATGATACACCTCCAGTAGTGTGTATGCATATGTATGCACTATTTTGCTCAATCTGCATACCAGTCCATCCTAGATCAAGATTTATAATAATAGCATACCAACGAATGTAAACGCAAAAATAAGTCGCATATCAAATAATAATTATTGCAGATTCGATAAATCATGTAAAGACAATATTAAAATTAAACAAATAAGTTTATAGATTCTTCATCACTGCCTTTTCGACATACTAGATTTGGCATGTTTATGTTGCAGATGCCGTTGTGTAGTAGACGTATGTTTTTTGTTTTGATTTCCTTAACATGACTATGAGCACTACAGAAAGTGTGCTTTTGTTTTGTAATCCATTTATTCTCACTTGTTTCGTAAAACTCATATGTACTCATAACATCATCATCAAAGGCTGAAAATCATGGATAATATAAATTGCCTACTTCAGAATCAACAGTACATGACCCTGACCTTTTTTTGCGC